AGTGCACTCCAGTCTTGGTGACAGAGTGAGACTCCAACTCAAAAAAAAAAAAAAAAAGAAATTTAAGAAAACAAAGATGGGCATGATGAGACTGATCAGGCTCAATGAATAAGTTATATTATAGCCACTAGCAAACTACTAGTACATGACTCCCAAGTGAAATCACCCTCCCTGAAAAGGACATAAGAAATAAAAATAATAGGCTGAAAACACTCAAAATCACTTAAAAAAGAAAACAACGATACTTTTATCACTGGGGTTTAGCTCTTCTTTATGATGATTAGAAGCATGTGTAATCCCTTGCCTTTGGGAGGCTGAGGTGAGTGGACTGCCTGAGCCCATGGGTTCGAGACCCGCCTGGGCAGCGAGACCTCATCTCTACAATAAATCAAAAATTCAGCCGGGCTCAGTAGCGCATGCCTGTAATTCCGGCTACTCGGAAGGCTGAGGTGGAAGGATTGCCAGAGTCCAGCAGGTTGAGGCTGTGGTGGCCGGGAGCGGCCACTGCACTCCAGTCTGGGCGACAGAGTGAGACTTCAACTCAAAAAAAAAAGAAAAAGAAAAAAAGAAAAATGTGCAAAATAGTTCTAGGGTCTCTATCAAACCACAATGCAATTTGTAACAAAACAAGCTAAGGATATAAAACAAAGATCTTGCTCTTTCAGGGTAAATGTAACTAAATATTATCAGAGATCAGAATATAAACAAAATTAAATACAAGAATGAAAATGGAGGTATTGCATCACATAAAAAAAGTCACACCATGTGCATAGGAGGCTAGCATACTGACCTGGCAAAAAATGTGTTAGATGAGCCTGCTGCTTCAAAAAATGAGTGTCACTATTTGATAACATAGTCCCGTAGATAATCTAGAAACACCTGGCATTCATTTTTTTACTCAACTTGACAGCTAATATTCTGTGAACGCTTTACAATTCAATATGGATATTACTGATTTCTCAAGTTTGTTTATTGTTGTATATGTTCATACAGGTAAATGGCAGAAAGATGCATTCATTTGTAAAATATCTAATATGCATACAACATTAAGATATGCTCAGATTGAGATTTTTTGGTTGTATAAATGATTTTTAAGATGTACTTTGGTAAAAACATTACATGTAATATGTTATAAAGCACATTAATAAATCAGTTGGCTGCAGCCCAGCTGACTTAGGAACCAGCATGCCACAGACACTGCACATGTCCAAGTCATACACTCCTCCCCACCCTGCTCTACTCCAAGAGACAATAGCTCTCCTAAACTGTGTTTACAGTTCCTTTTTTTCTTTTTCAAATAGTTTCACCATATTTCTGTGTATCCTTAAACAAAATATTCTTGAGTGCTGCTGATTTCTGAGCTTAATTCAAATGGTTTCATACTGTATACATTTTTCTGGGGTTTGCTTTTTTAACTCAGTTAGGTTCCTAAGATTTGTTCATTCATGTTTACTGTTGTGGGACATTTCATTACAAATATGACACAACATCTTTATCTACTCTCCTGTCAAAGGGCACTTGGGTCAGTTCTAGGTCTGTTATTATAAGAACAATAAAAATCTCTGGACCCTGGGAGGGGCTAGGGCAGTGAGAAAGGACACACTAAAGGAAAATGTTCTAGCTATGTTCTTTTTTTTTTCCTTCTGAATTGTCCTGGGGAATCCCATTAAATTCCCCATCACTGCTATGGGGTAGAAAATGGTAGAATTGGCCAGTGACAAGGAGAAGGTCAAACTGGGAAGCTGAGAATAACAAATACCGGTTCCCGGTTCCCAGCAGTCTCACTCTCCCTACCCCCTTTTCTTTTCATGACAACGAAGACAGCAAAGGGCAGAGGAATAGAAAGAATTCCCCAGAGGCACAATTACTTGGTGTGAAGAAGTATTAATATTTGTCTGACGGCTGTGCCCTAGACTATAACACCAGTGGCTTTCCTCCCACCTCTACTCACTAAGAGTGACTTAAATTACCCACACCTTCACATGTATTACTGACCAAAGTAGCCGATATCCCTGAGGGAATCTGAACTGACAGGGAATAGAATAATCTGATCACTATCATAAATACATAAAATAAAGACAATAAGCTCAATAACCTCTATCACATGAAACAAAATTAACAAATTCCAAAAGATAAGATTATACAGTAAGTATTTTAAAATAACCTCAAAGTGAAAAGAAAGGATATTGGTATTATGAAAAGAAACAAGTACTTGTAAACAAGAACCAACCAAAAAAACTTGGCATAAAAATGTTAGGGTTGAAGTAAAGAACTCAGAGATCTCCATCTAATTGCCAAAAGATAGAAGAAGAGAGAAAACAACACAGAGAAATAGAAGGCAGAATCAGAAATGTCAGCATCCATAAACAGCAATCCTGAGGAGAAGGGAAAAAAATTAACAGATGAGCCGGGCTCGGTGGCTCAGCCTGTAATCCCACGCCTTTGGGAGGCTGAGGTGAGTGGATTGCCTGAGCCCGCGGGTTCAAGACCCGCCTGGGGCAGCGAGACCTCATCTCTACAATAAATCAAAAATTAGCCGGGCGTGGTAGCGCATGCCTGTAATTCCGGCTACTCGGAAGGCTGAGGAGGAAGGATCTCCAGAGTCCAGCAGGTCGAGGCTGCGGTGGCCGGAAGCGGCCACTGCACTCCAGTCTGGGTGACAGAGTGAGACTCCAACTCAAAAAAAAAAAAAAAAAAAAATTAACAGATGATTAAAAAAAAGATAATCGCAAAATGTCTAATTAAAGAAAGACAGAAGATCTCAAAATTCAGATTCACATGAAATTCTAAAGAACTTTTAAACAGCTTGAAGGTAAAGTTAAGTGACAGGTTATAAGGATTTACAATATATAGAAAGAAAAAGATCAGCATTCAAGCTACATAGAGCTATCTGCTGCAAAACAACTAGATCATGCACAAGTTGTTTGGTTGCATAGCTGATATCATAGGGGTGAGAAAAATTCCAGAAAAAAAAAAGACAAACCAGAAAAAACTTCGAGTTGAGCAGTAAGGATGAGCAAAAGGTAGGGGTGTCAGTGAGGACAGGTCCACTATCAGCTGTAGATCTGAGCCTGGGTCTCTAATTTGTAGGAATTCAGAGATGAAGTATAAGAACATGGAACTGGGCTCAAGTGGTCCTATGCACAACTTCTGGCAAAAGCAAAATCCTCAATGGATAAAGGCAAACTAGATAAGCATCAATACTCAACAGATACTGACACATATTGACCAAGGTAAGGAGACAGCCACACATAAACAAATTATACTCAATTAACAACAAAAGAGAGGATGACTTTGAAAATATCCAAAAAAGAAAAATTAGTTTCTCTAAAAGGGCTAGATTTAAAAGCAAACACCATTTTGTTTACATAGAACATCCCTAAATATAAGTGATAAACACGCTGAAAATAAAGGGATTGGAAAGAGATACACCAGGAAAAAGCTAAAAGAAGAGCTGAACTAGCTAAGTATCCAACAAAACAGATTTTGAGACAGCAAGCATTATTATATAGAGTATATTCACCAACAAGACATAATAATGCTCTACCACACATACCTACCAAAATAGACTAAAAAGTTACCAAAACAATTACTTATTTTGGGTAAGATGAAATAGCTGGCAACAGACCAGCATTCCCACCTCTAATCACTCACAACAGTCTAAGAAAATACACAACTCCCCTGTTGGAAGGCAGCAGAAAGCTTCTGAGGTGATGGGAACCACAGGGCTAAGACCTCTGTGAGGGAAGAAACTCTTCAGAAATGAACTTATTTTTTGTAGCCACTTTTACAAAATAGTATATGGGGGACATTTCTCTTTATAGAATAACTCGTGGATTATAGATGTGAAAGATATAACAATGAAGCTTTTAGAAGAAAACAAAGGAGGATATCTTCATGAATTTGGGACATACAAAGATTTCTTAAACAGAATACAAAAAGCACTAACCATTAAGGAAAAAGACTGCTGAATCAGACTACATTACAATTAAATAGTGCTGAGTCAAACAGTATGTCCATAATATATTCATTTTTAAAAAGATATTGGAAGTCTACCATATACTATACATAAAAATAAATTTCTGATGGGTTAAGAACTTCAATTTGGAAAGCAAATTTTGAAACTTTTAGAAGAAAACAAAGTTTGTCTTTTTTAACATGAAATATAGGACAGAATTTCTTAAGATACAAAAAGTGCTAACTATAAAGGGAAATTTTGACTGAAAATATTTAAATTAAGAGCTACTTATCAAAGTAAATCATAAAGAAAAAAGATTACAAAAGTATTTTCTTACATATACAACCTAAAAGAACCAATATCCAAAATATAAATAACTCTTCCAAATAAAAAAAGACAACCAACCCACTATTAAAATGGGTAAAGCTCATCAAGAAAGTTTTCCTTATTCACTATCTCTAAGTGCCCTCTGGCTTTAATATTATCTCTATGCTGATGATTCCCAAATTTTTATCTCTAGTCCAGACGTCTCCCAAATTTCAGACTCATATATTTAACTGCCAACTTAACATCTCCACTTGGATGTCCAAAAGGCATCTCAAATGTGTCCAGGACTGAACTCCTGATTTTCCCCTCAAACCTTCTCCACCAGTCTTCCCCAGCTTCAGATGATGGCAACTCTCCCCCTTCCAGTCACTCAGATCTGGGAGGCGTCTTTCAGGCCTTCCTTTCAATTTTCGCCTCCAATCTACCAGGAGATCATGCCGGTTTCAACTTCAAAATAGACTCAGAATCTGACTCTTGCCACCTCTACTGCCACCACCTTGGTCCAAGCCACAATCTACCTTACCTAGGTTAGATTAGTGAAAGGGTGTCCTAATTGACTTCCTTGCTTCTGGCCTTCTTGACAGCATTATCAACCAGCAACATGGGTGATTCATACAATACCAGGGAAAAGTCAGATCAGTCAATCCTCTTCTCAAAATCCTCAGCAGTTGCTACCTCCCTTTGCACCACATCCTCTTAATCTACTTTGTTTCCTACCTGCATAGCATTTACCACTTTCTAACCTACTATATAATTTACTTATCTCACTAGAATTTCAGCTCCATGAGGATACAAATTTTTATCTGTTTTGCTTACCAATGTATCCCAAGTCCCTTGGATGATACCTGGCACATATTAGGTGTACCTACTGACTGTACTGAATTGAATGTTTACTGTCTAGACCATTTAGATCCCACTACACTATAACCACCCTGAGGTCTGGGATTTTGTCTGTTTTATTCACGGATGTATCTCAAGTGCATCTAATTAGGAAGGCTGCAGGTATACACTGTAATTTTTATCCCCATACCACAATCAGACCTAGAGCATATGTAAAGTTGGAGTGAGTATCCTACTATATCCCAGTACTAAAATTAGCAATATGACTTTGATACAAAAATTTCCCTCTCTCCCAGGGCATGGTACAAAGGCCTCTTTCTTCTCTAAAACCTCCCTATAGGTGATCTCAATTCTAATGGCTTTATTTTCTTTGTAAAATAGTAATAAACTATTTTCTTTGTAAAATAGTAATAAACTATCACAAAAAGCAGTACATGTAAGTTGTAGAAAATTAAGAATACAGGTAAGCAAAAATCAGAAGAATGTCACTCTCATGACCCAGAAACTGTCATTGTTAATACACCTTTAGTATGGATTTTTCTGGGTATTTCTGTGCATATATACTTTTTTCTCAAGATGAGAGCAAGCTGTTTATATTGTTTTCTACATTGCTTTTGTCCATTAACACTCTGCATCCTTCCTTGTCAATGACTTTTCAACTCATCTCATTGTCAGCCAATACTCAAATTTCCTCAATTGTCACCAAAATCAAATGAGAAACTATATATAAGGTACTCTTGTACCTTTGCATAAGTGGTGGCTTATGCCCACACTGCCTTTCCTTACTTTATTCTGCCTCCAAACTCATAATCAACCTTTGAAATTCTACACAGCCATCTGTTCCTCTTAGAAGCTTCCCTTGAACCTCCTTGCTCCCTTCTAGATCATGCCTTCCCCTGTCTAACTCATTACTGTGTACCAAAGCACTTCTACTGCTCTATTTTGTGTGCTTATTTACAAAGAGGACCGCAAAAAACTGGAATTATTTTTTGAAAGGGCAGACCCCTTGTAATATAGGCTTCCCTTGCCCTCACTAGATAAGTGTTCAAGGAACCCATCAGCATCAGTGCACCAGCTAGCATTGTTGTGAGAGGCTGTGTCCAGCTTCAGAGAAATGTTTTTTGAAGATTCTTTCAACACATTTGCCCATCTCATGATTTAGCAGTACACCTAACCATACCGCACTGAGTATTCAGCAGTTTTTGACCCAAAACAGCATGACCTCATGCCCCACCCTCCCTATTCACCAGATTTCTCCTCGAGTGACTTTTTCTGTTTACCCAGACGAAAAAAGCCCTCAAAGGGAAAAGTTTTGCCAGTGTAAAAGACATGAAACAAACAAACAAAAACAACAGAAGCACTAAAAGGCATCAAAGTTGACAAGTTCAAAAACTTTTGAGCAGTGGAAAAAGTGTCTCAATAGGTGTACTGCATCAAAGAATACACAATTTTTTATAAATGAATTCTGGGTTTTTTGGGATTCCCCCCTCATATATCAATTACCCCTGGCAGATTGTGTCCTTGTTGAAAGCAGATACTGGACCTTTTTTCACCCAAAACAGTATCTGGCACCTGGTTGGCATTCCATATTTAACCAACAGAAGAATGCTGGCACATACGTAAAGCAGATACCCATAAATATTTACTTTAGTGTACTGACTTAATTCTCTCTATATAGAAAATAATATAGGGCAATAAAGAGTTGAGAGCAAGGACACCTTTGTCCTATGCCTATCAGTTATGAAATCATGGGAAAGTTGTAACCTCTGCGGATGTCTTATCTCATTGGCAAAATGAAAAGGATAAACTAAACATCTAAGAGTTTACAATCTTAGATGCTTTGGAATAAGGATTTTTAATAGCATTCGATAATGTTTTCAAAACCATCTTTAGACTGGCAATATCAAGTGTTGGTGGATATGGAACGAGTGGAACTCTCATACACTGCTCTGTTGGTGGCAGTGTAATATGGTACAGCCACCTTGGAGGACTGAACATTTGACATTTGGACATTTTATTGTGTGTAAATCATATGTCATTTTTTTTAAAAAAAAGTTCAGGCTATATACAGTTTTTAAAACTTACAAATTTTATACTTACCTTCTTTTCTTTTGAGCCAGGTTGAGTTCCATAAACTTATACTTCTGGTACTGTTCATCCAGCTTCTTTAGTACTGTATCTGCAGTCTCATTCCCAGGTTGTTTCATGAAGGAATCTACATCTTCCTTTAATATCAAAAATAATACATTACAAGTTTTAGAACTGATGCCACTCATGTGATTTTTTGACTACTTTGATTTTAAAACACAAAAGAAAAACGCTTTCTTTTTCTCCAAAGCTTTGTTTTTAAGTAAAAGTACAGGTTGAACAACCCTTATCCAAAATGCTTGAGACCAGAAGTGTTTTGGATTTCCAATTTTTTTCAGATTTTGCAATACTTTACAGAACTTTAGTTCTTTGTTATAAGCAACTTCAATGATCTTATGGCTTCTGGGATCTCTACATCATTATTCCTATCCATGTTTATTAGCTACCAGAGAGGATTTTAACTGAAACAAAGAAGAAAAAGGAAGAGAAACAGAGCAAGGGATGAACTATTAAGCCATCAAGCTAGACACAGAGTAAATGAAATTTAAAAGGTGAGGCTGAGAGTCAATGACTGAGTTCTATATGTAAAATGGAGATACCATCTTCCTAGAAGGACCACTGCAAGAAAGAAGTTCAAGCTTCTAGCACATTAGGAGCTAGAGTCTAGCAAGGAGAATTAACTACAGGAGCACTGGATATGGTTAAGGGGGTGCCTAGTTTGAATCCTGGCTTCACCACTTATTTACTGTGTTGAGTTTAGGGAAATTATTTAACTTTTCTTTGCCTCAATTTCTTCATCTGAACAATGAAATAAAAGCTCCTTTTCCTCACCAGGGATTAAATGAGCTAGAATTTAATGGTTAGAAGAGTATGTGACACCTAGCAAGTGCTCAACAAACACTAGCTATGTTCACAACACAATGTGCTATAGGGACACAAAGTGCCAAGGATTTCATTTCTGGGTAGCAGTCAGGGAGAACTACAGGGAGGTAATATCTGAACGAGAATGTTGAAAGAGAAAGAGGTCATCAAATGGACAAGAGTGTGAAAGGGACAATTCAAGCAAAGAAAGAAAACCAACTATTGCATTAGTAAGGTTGAGAAAAGGGACTCGTCTGACTTCTAACCAATATGACATACTGCCTCCTATCATCATGAACACTAATACCTCTTCAATGCCTACTAAGTATTATCATCCCTATTTCAGTTAAAGAAAATGAGACTCAAAGAGGCAAAATAATATGCTCAAAGCTAAACAGCAACAAGGAAACAAAGCCAGGATTCAAACTTGGTCTATTTAGAAGCCAACATTCTTTCTAAATTAGCATGTCACTTCCTTTGGTTTCGACACATAAAAATAATTACGCAAAATTTGTGCTATTATATTAAGTAGAAAATTTAAGGTCTAGGGAAAAGAGTCCATAAAATTGCAGGAAAAAAATCATCTAAGACTTTATAAAGTCCTCAGATAAAATTTATTCTCTCAAATTAGATTTCGGAGGCCTTCCTTAGCACTATGAATAGATGTAAAGTAGTATGGAAATTAAATTAAACACCTAGTTATTATCTTATACTATGTGTCAGGTACCGTGCTAGGACCAGGAGATATGGTACTAAGCAAGAGAACTACTTCATTCTCTTTCCAGTAACAGAGCATGAGGGGTAAGCAGAGGATCTGGAGCTCCAGATTGCCTGGATACCTCACTTACATTCTGTGCAACCTCAGGCAAGTAACTCAAGGGCTTTGTGACTCAGTTTCATCATCTACAAAATGAACACGATAACAGTAAGTACCACCTAGAGTCTTGTAAAATAATTAAGAAAGTGCCTAACGCGCAACAAATCTTATTTATGGTTAATATATAAATGGCACAGCTAAGGAGAAAAACACAAAATAAGTAAAGAAAACAATTACAAAACTCAATCAGCAAATGTACATATACAACATAAAGTGTTCTCTAAATAACATGGTTATCAGGAAAAAGGCAGAGGCAAAAGAAAGGCACAAACTTAAAGGCTGAGAAAATTCCATTAAGATTTTATAATAGGTCAGTACAACTAAAAGAGGAACGACAGATAAGCTGGCCTGAAAAATAGTTAGACATTTTCTCTCATTATTCAAGTAGTCTGCAAATACTATTTCTAGAACAAAAACTCTACCCTAGAACAGGCAGCTCCCTCCAGAATGGCCTCTGGAAAGACTGGATTCCCTCTCCGGCCCTAGTTAACCTAGGACCAAGACGCCATCACGAGGGTTCAGCCTCCTTTCAACAATTCCTTCTCCACTAAGTTGTCAGAATGATGTACCTAAAATCAAAGACCTTCTCATTACAGCCCGATGCCTAGGAAAAGCCTCAAGTCCTCAGAATGACACACAAGGACTTCACACTCTCACCCTTATCATCCTACTTTCCCATCAGTCTCTTCTGTCATCTCCCCCGCAGCAACAGACCACCGCATTTCTTCAACAGGATAGGTGCAATTCCCTATTTTCACACCTTAGCGCTAGCGGCTCGGCCTACCCATTGTAAGTGTCCATTAACTGCCTCTCCAGCATTTGGGCTGAGTCGCGGGCTTCACACCGGCCGCAGTCGGGCGGTCCTTCCGGCCGCCCCGCCCCACACCTCAGCCCATCGCCCCGGCCTCGCGCCGCGGCCCTCGCGCCCTGCGCCCACTTCTTTTTTAAGGCCTTCTCGGGCCGCGTTTCCTCCGGGCGGCCCCGGCGGAGCCCAGCCTGTCCAGGTGCGGGGAGGGAGCGGGTCAAGGGCCCCCTCCCTGGAACTTTAGCTCGGTCCCTTCCAACGGTCAAGGCCTGGGCGGGAGCCCGGAAGGAAGGAGCAGTGCGCGACCTCAGGCCAAATGCCAGAGAACAGCGTGCCTCTTACCACAAACACGGCCTCAGGAATCCCCAGGTGGAGCCGCCGCCCATTCCCCGCAGCCACTTCTCGTATGCCACAAACGTCCCTAGCTGCCGCCATCTTGGGGATACAAGCGCGCGACTGCCTCCCGAGCCGCCAGCCACAGGGGGTCTGTGATTGGCTCGTTCGCACCTGCAGGCCCGCCTCTCCCTACACATTCATTGGTGTGCAGGGCGAAGACGCCCCTTCTCCTTTAGCCGAAAGTAGCTCAACCTTTAGGTGCTGATTGGCTGCGTGCAGTTGACTGACAAGTGTGAAAGGGCCGGGGAGGAGAAACTGGAGCTTCAGGAAAAACCAACAAGGACTCCTGGGAAAGGGGGTCTCGTGAGTGGGCCGGGCTAAAACCCTGGAAACTGGGTCCAAGGCAGACCCCACCTCCACCCCTAAACAGGCAGCGTCGTTTAGAATGGCCTGCGGTGCGACCCAGTCCCCTCGCGGACACCAGTGAACCAGGGACCAAGAAGGTTCAGCTGTTGTGCTTCCTGTCCATGAAAGGGGAATGTGCATCCGTTTCGCAGTACAACCACTGACCTGATTCTAACAAATACCCCGCCCATCGCAGCTACCTTTCCCCAAAGCCACGTTTCGATCAGAAGAATCTCCTCAGCTCAAACGTTTTAATAACTTCAAAGTCTAAACTCTACATGCACTTTGACGCCCATGGACTTACCTAGCATCACCCTCCACTACAACCCTTTGAAAGCACGTGTGTCATACAGGCCCCATATAATTATTCTGTGGGCTCTTTCCTGTCTTTCTTTCACTGGAGCGTTTCCCAGTGAAGCACTGCTTCATCCACTCGCACAAATTCTACCACGGACATAAGTTATACAATGAAAAGTAAGTCTTCCTTCTCAGAGGCAATCGCTATTACCAAATTGTCTCCGGACATAATGAATGTACAATCAAGCATACAGACATAGATATATATGTCTTTATATAGAATACGAGGAGGAAATTTTTGTCCTCATGTTGTCAGTCAGGAAACTAAAGCTAAGCGAACCTGCACCCCTTCTCCAAAAGCACTTAACAATCAGTTCTCACAAGCTGGTCACACCAACTCTAGTGCATCACTGGTTCATATTTAGGGAAGCCAGAGTTTAGTGACTTCCATGAATATCACCTGCAATGTCACACTGATATGCTCCACAGAGAAGGAAAAAAATGTTGTGATATACAGTTGGAGTCCCCTGGGAGAAGACACTGATATCCTTAGCATCTACTAGACATTGGAAGACCAAGAACTGACTTGTACAGCCTGGAATCCATAGCAACTCTAACTTCATCTATTCCCAGCAGTAACTGGTTCTGTCCCACTCTCCAGAAGCCTCCAAAATCACTCTGAAGAGCTGCAAATCCTGAGGCTGCAGGAACGTGCCTCATTTATCCTAACCCTGGTCACTAAGGTCATCTCCTCCCAGGAAGTCCACTGAGAAAACGCCCAAAGCTTTCAGAGAGATGCCTAGCATTTCAGGATGTTCTGAAGCAGCCTCTGCTCCACCTTCTGATTCAGTTTCTAACCCTGACTTCTGAGAACAGAAAGTTCAGTTTCCCCGATGAGTTTTGGAACTCCCCGGAGGGTACCTGATAGTGATAGTATCCCCGCACGCAGACAAGCCTGCCCAGCCTCTTGGGCCTGTTTCCCGGGAAGTCAAGAATCATGCATTTTATATTTGTAGACATCCCAGTGGGGCCTTCATACTCACTACCTTGGGTTGCTGATTGTGCTGCATGTACTTTCACCGCTTGTTCCCAATGTATCTTCAGTGCTTTTGTTCTGATTATTCAAGAAGAAAAGGTAGGATTTGCCTAGAAGGTGACACGTGGCAATGTGATTTCCTTCTTCCTGGAACTGAAGTTATTTATCCAAGGTGATGTGGAGAGGCCCTTTGTTCCAGGGAACTAACCCTTCTGCAATCTCCATCCCACCACCTAACCTCCCAAACTGATGACCCTGAGGACTGCCAGACATCACCCTGCTTTGTCTCCAGAATTTATTCCCAAGTTTGCCAGTGTAGTGGGCCCTAGAACTTAGGTTGTAGCTTAGCCCTGCTATTAACAAGCTGTGCCTCATTAGACAACTGTCTTTGTCTATATAATTCAGTGTTCTCACATGTGAAATGAGGTTTGGAATACAGGGTCTCCAAGGTCAATTCCAATGCTATTGCATTTTGACTATGACCTCTGGTGAGTCGAGGCAGCTGTACTAATTTTGCATCCCATGGTTGTCACTAGATTCCACTGGATCCTTCTGGTTCCTTCTGTAATTATGCCATTGTAAATTTAGAAAACCTGATCTTGGGCTCCCAGGTGGGTAATTGCACCCTCCAAATTCCTCTGCTCCCATGTTCACCCAAGTTCTTCCATTCCAAACACATTAAAAACCATGGATGAAGAAAGGCTCGAACTCTGCTTCCACATTTCTGAATCTCCTTTTGGACCTGATTCATCAGGCTCCTACATGAAGACCTTCAGTATAAACCCCGGTGAATTCTCAGTCACAAGGTTTCCTGGGTAACAGGTGGGAGGGATGGTGCTTTCCCAGTACAATGTTTAAGACTGCTTTGCAGTCAGCTTAGGTAGCAGTCCCAGCTTGATTACTTTTTTTTGGCTATGGGATCTTATGCCAGTCATTTTAACACTGTAAGTCTGCTTTCTCAGTTGTAAAATAAGCATAACAATAGGGCTTTGGGCACATATTATTAAGTGGTTTGGATGGAACTACACATATAAAATACTTGGTCCTATACCTAGTACCTATGATATTGCTCATTTCATTGGATTTGTTTTCTGTAGATATGTTGGAGTGCCCTGGAATATGAAAGTCCCAAAATATGACCAACTCTTTTCAACTTGGCTCTGAAATGTCCCATGTCAGTATCAAAAAAAAGAAGAAGAAGAAAGTGAGATGAGTGCCAAGAAACCTTGAAGTCATCACTCTTAGGGCCTCCATTTTGGAATTGCTAATCTCTAAAAAGGTCATCGCCTTTCACATACTGTAGTATCTGTTTATTTGTGACACAGATGATGTCTCAAAGATAATACTGCATGGCCACATTACAGTTTCAAGAGATTTCAAGCCAGCAGAGACCAGAATATATGATGAAATCTTCCGGCCAAAGCAAGCATATGCTACTCAGGGACCACACTCCCACCCAAGACATCACCCTCTGCTTGCTGTTGCTTAGAGAGAGGTTGGAGGATCTGGCCAAGAAATGCCATGCCAGCAGCCTCTCTATGAGGACAGGAAGGAGGCGAATTGTCACTCCATGGCAGTCTTCAGGGGATGAGTCCTGAGCTTTTACCTAGGGGCGTGGTTCTGGATTAGACAAGAGTCATGACTAGGTCTGAAGCAGCTCCTACAGGGGCCAAACAACTTGAGAACACATGGTGTGAGGTAAGGCCTATTACATGGCTACTGAGGGTGCTCAGAGGACCCTACTGGCACACATACCTCCTTGAACTGGGCTGACTAGTGTGGCAGCAGCAGTAGCTTGTTCTCCTCAGACTCGGTGTGTCACACAATGCCACCACCTCAAGCCCCTCCCCCTCCCTGAGCAGGTTCCTGAGGGTAACCAGAGGATCCAGAACTAACATACACGGTGATCAGATGTCAGAAAAGAGCCCAAAGAATAATTTATTGCGTCTGTATGCCACACGGGTTTTTAGGAACTTGTTTATTTTACTTGGAAGATGTGGGTGATTCAGTTCAACCTGTTGGAAGAGCATCGCTTTTTTCAATTCTGAATCTGAAGCTTTGGTACCTCTACATGGATTATGCCTGATGAAGGAAAGATAGATATGTAAGGCTTTAATCATTTCTCTATATTTTTCTTTGTGGTTATAAAATAAATTGCAAATATTTTTATACACAACTCTGGTCATTTTTCTCATTATCTAATACCTGGGGCTTTGTCAGTCCCCCTAAAACACACATTCAGAAATCGAGGGCTCAACACACAACTGAAGACTGAAGGAAGAAGCCCTGTAAAGTCTTCTAGAAAACAATAAGGCAACAGACACTCTCCTATATGATTCAGCACACTCGTGCACATTAACACTGCTTGCTTCTACTTCTTTGCACGACCTATTCTCTCTGCCTGTGATGCCAAACGTCTATCCTCTATATACCCACAAGTTGAAGTCCTCTTTATCAGTTAGTACTCACTGCCTAGAAAGCTTCCATTGCTAAATTAATTGTTCCCTCCTTTGAGTCCCCATGGTGCTTTGTACTTCCCTCTTGAATTGTCTGGATACATGTGTATCTGGAGCATTCTTTCCCTGCTCCATTGACTGGCTATCTCTTTGTAAGTCTTACCTTTCAACTTAAGTATCAGTTATTGGGAAAGCCGTCCTGAAAACCTCCAGGTTGGGTTAGCTGCCTCCCCAGTACTAATCAAAGTTAGTGGGTTTGTTGAATAAATAAATAAATAAATGAATAAAGGGATTGCTGAATAGATATATGAACTGAGTTGAAGTTTAACACAAATTTATAGAGCTCTGTACTAGACCTGCAGTTCTGTGTTTTTCGGTGATGCTGAAAATGTTAGGATTAGGTTTCTTTCTATGAGAGACCAACAGTGCACAAAAGATGGATATGTTGTAAAACTCTAACACCAATTCTACCTCCAGTGATTGCCTACAAAGGGTCTCAGCAAGAACAGCCTAAACATACCTGATGTCCTGTGGGTAGAGTGGCAAAATTGCTAGTCCTTAAGCTTCGTTGGGTATAAACCATAGGTTGTGGTGCCATTTGAGGAGCTCCCAATGGTGTTGGAACCTATGAATTTGAATGGAAAAGAGAAAAAGGTAAAAACTTAATTAGTATTTCATTGCTTTCCCTCTTTCTAACTTATAAACAGCAGGTGTTTATTTCTCACAGTTTCACATGCAGTAATAATTGTGTTCCTAATACAACAGTACCAGGAGAACAAGTAGCCCTTCTAGAGTAAATATCACATGTAGTGAATGTCAAGTGAAAGGAATACCACATCCCAAATGCAAACAAAAAGAGAAAAATAGATGTGTGAAGGAGCTTCTACTGATAAAGTGTGAGTGGGGCAGGGGGAGACCTAAAGAATAGTTCTTGAAAAGCAGGAATGAATGACCACAAAGTAAG